ACTGGACCCCGCTGCGCGCCGACATCAAGATGGACGTTGGCCGCACCATCAACCCGGCCATCGACTACGGCCAGATCGAGGGCGCCTTCATCCAGGGCCAGGGCCTGTTCACCACCGAGGAGAGCCTGTGGCACCGCGCTTCGGGCCAGATCTTCACCCGCGGCCCCGGCAACTACAAGATCCCGGGCTTCCGGGACATCCCCCAGGTGTTCAACGTCAGCCTCCTGAAGGATGTCGAGTGGGAGAACCTGCGCACCATCCAGCGCTCCCGCGGCGTCGGCGAACCCCCCTTGTTCATGGGCAGCGCCGTCTTCTTCGCCATCCGCGACGCCCTCAAGGCCGCCCGCCGCCAGTGGAACGTCCAGACTGTCCTTCGGTTGGAGAGTCCGGCGACCCCCGAGCGGATCCGGGTGAGCTGTGCGGATCCGATCATCGAGAGGGCGCGCGTGGTGCCGCAGCCGGGCGAGAAGAGCTTCTTTGTGGCTATCTAGTTGGAGCCTCGCAATTGGGTATAGGCTTTTTGGAGGTGGGGGGTAAAATTTCATGAATCTGACGACACGCACATACCGGCATGTAGCAATTTATTCACCTAGCAATGCATCATTCCGCAAATCTATGGATCATACAATGTTGAATACACTATCGTAGCCACGTTCTACGGGTATATCACGCGAGGCCTAAAGCGAGAGGTAAGGAGACGGGCAGCACTGGAAGTGGAGAAATCATCCGCCGGGAAACTGTAGACAAGACACAAAGAAGAAAAAAAAAACAAAAGAAAAGAAAAGGCTCAGCAACTGGACTACCACCTCGTCCCGCCCTCACGGACCGAGAAGAAGTGGATTTCGAAAGGAAGTGGAGAAAGGAGTTCAATGCTTCTCCATCCCATACTCCACGTAACTGCTGCCCCGCAGATCCGACACCCCGTCCACACGTAAGGCGTTCCTCTGGCCCGCGAACCCGACCTTCTCATCCGGGTACACTCCTAGACCTGCAGTTGTTGTGGTATTAGTCGATGCGGTAGTGGTACTCATGGCGGCGGCGGCCCCCCTCCCCGTCTGCGTCGCGACCTCGTACCGCGGCGCAGCAGCAGCGGCGTCATCATCACTGACATCCAGGTCGAAGCGCTGCTGATGCTGTCGCGGCATGCTGGTCAGGGGCACATCGATGAACCCTGCATCACCGGGACCGAGGCCGGGATCCGGCCGGGAGGAGATGGGGGCGGGCCCGCCCTCGCCGCGGGTCTTGTCTTTCTTGGCAAACAAAATCAAGGCGCGGGTGACGCCGAAGAAGGCGTTGACGACCCAGACCAGGAGGATGAAGGCGGCGATGATGGTCTCGAGGCGGAGGCCCTTCTCGAAGGCGGCGATGACCTTGTCGACGACCTCGGTGATCTTATTGGAGGTTTTGTCGCCGGCCTCGGCGAGGAAGCTGTCGTCATCGGAGGCAGTGCCGTTGATGGAGGCGGCGGCACCGCGGGAGAAGACGTCCTCCGGGAACAGGGGGAAGTCGACGTGGGCGTGGTCGTGGACCCAGGTGAGGCCCTTCTGGACGCTGGCGACTTTGAGGCCGATCAGACAGTTGAACACCTCGAGGAGCGGTTCGTAGAGGATGGTGTCGCCGAAGGTGCCATTCAGCACGTCGATGGTCTTGTCGACGAAGGTGTTGAGCGTGTCGTTCAGCGCGGTGGTGCTGGTGTTCACCCACCCCAGCACGTTGGTGTTAATTTGCGAGTCGACGTGCAGGATCGCCGTGTTGGTGTCATTGGCCCACTCCGCTGAGCTGTTGGCCAGCGCCGCCACGACCTTGTCGGCGAACTGGCCCACTTCCTCGGAGAGCTCGGGCACGGTCCGCTTGACGGCGGACAGGAGCACGTACTGGCACAGGCACGAGAGGAGCCCCGCCAGCGCCAGGCACAGCACGAACAGCGCCGCGGGCGTCGTCGCGTACGCGATCGCCCACCGCACCAGGATCTGCGCGCGGCTGTTGCTGAAACGGCTGGCCGCTTTGATCCCCGCCGCCGCCGTGTACGGCCGCGACACGATGTACACCACGTCCATCGGGTCGTGGGCCTCCTTGCGCACCAACTGCGAGCGTTCCTTCATGTGCCGCCAGCGCCGGATCTCCTGCCACGCCATGGGGACGCAGGCCAGGATGGCGGCGATGACGAGGATGGCGATGAAAATCTTCCGCGCCGTGAGCGCGGCATCGGTGGCGCCCTCGAAGAAGGAGTTGATGCCGTCGTTCGAGTCGCAGAAGGTGAGTTTCTTCTTCGCCGGCACCGAGAGCGCCGACGCGTTGAAGCTGTAGCTCCCGAGGGAGCCGTTGACCAGCTTCTTGACTTCCTCGAATGGGAAGCGAAGCACGTTCTCGGTGAAGTTGCTGACTTCGTCGAAGGTGGGGATCGAGCTGTTCAGCTTGTCGAGACTCGCGTCGATGGACGAAGGGAGGTGGGCGTTTTCGAGGCTGTTAATGGAGTCTGTGAGGTTCAGGGTCGGGACGCTCGTGCCGACTGCACTGAGGACGGTGTTGACCTTTTCGAGGAAGCTGTTCAGCGTGTCCTCGAACGTATCGACGGTCTTGCCGATGTCTTCGCCGACGGTCTTGATCGTTGAGTTGAGGAAATCGGCGGCGTCTTCCAGGACGCTGACTCCGATCTCGACAGCGCCGCGCACGACCAGCGTGAACAGGCAGAGATAGGTCTGATACATGACCTTGATGAAGAAAATGACCAGCTCTTCCACGGCCGTTAGCGACAGCGTCAGCACGCTTTCCAGCCCGTCGATGGCCGCGTTGACTGTCTTCACCGCCACCTCGTTGACCCCCTGTGCTAGATAATGCGGCATGGAGGCCATCGTGCTGCCCATGGTTTCCACGGATGTACATGCCGATAGTGCTTCACTCTTGGCCTTGGCCATGTCGCTCTCTATGCTCGACACGGCCATCAGGACTCTGACCAAGACTAAGAGCAGCAAGATGGTCCATCGGTTGATCCATGACTGTGACAAGCGGGCGCGCAGCCCCAGGTAGGGTGTGATGCCGTCCGGGTGAAGTGGGATGATCCGACCAGAGCCTCCACTAGGATCATGGGCGCCGTAAGGTGGCAGTAGGGGGAATATGTTTCGTGCAGGTCCGAAGATCCCCATAATGGCGATCGACTGGGAGTCTCGCCGAAAGTGCTCGTTTGACTGCAGACACAGAATATGACGGCCAATGGAATCCCAAGCAAGTCTAGTATGCACCAAAGGGGAATGAAAATAATAGAGAACAGTAAGAAAGTAAGAATAAGATAATCCTGAGCCAGCAGCGAGTTATCTCAAAACTCCACAAGCAAGTCTATGATGCAGTGTCTAGTATGTCGTGGTAAAGGTTAAACAAAGGGAATTATCGTATTATTTAAGAGACCCAGAGAATGCAGTGTCAATAGGAGAAAGGGATTAACACAAGAAATGGTCCATCATTCAAGGGAGTGCAAAACAATGGAGACCCAGACAGGGGGAGCCAGGCGAGCAGTCATTGTATAATATATGGGTCTTTGCTTTCCACCAGGAGAGCTCTGTGGGATAAACACATTCATGGCCGCTGCGAAAGTGAGACAAAGATAGTAAGTCATGATTGTTTGGGGGCTCCATCGCCGCGCCAAAGGAGGCTGGCTACCACTCAGGACAGCGGTACGGAGATCGCAACAAAGACCAAAGACCTGATGGGGGTGAGCAGCTGATTTCGAAATCTTTTCCCTTCTTTCTTTAGGTAGCTTGGTTTCATCTGGCGCAGAGATCGTTCCCGTGCAGACAAGAAGATAGACTTGATGATCTGATGGGTTTCTGCAGCAGTGGCCCGGCCGAAGATAGTAACGGCGCTTAACACTTCAGCCCAGCGCAAGCGCTCTGAGCCACTCATTTTGATCAGTCTTGAAGGAGAATCGACCCGGAGCCCCACAGCGATCGAAAGACTAAATTAGCCATGCCATCGTGTTTATGGTCTTTTCTATCTGGGGTTGTTTGGTGTTGAGTGTTGGAACCGAGACGGCGCTTCCTGGGCTGTGGTGTTGTAGCCAGCAGGCAACGGGGGGTTTTCTGTCATTTGACTATCCCTAGAGGCATCTGAAACTGAGCACCTTGAAACTGGATACTAAGGATATTGAGTACTCAGGCATCGATAACCGTCTTGGTCAATGACTCAGATGATGGTCTAAGTCTTTGCTTTTCATAAAAGTGTAGGTAGTTGTCTGAGACCGGGAATCAGCCTGCGACAGAAACAGAGACAAGACTAGCGGCACGTGATGGCGGGCTCTTCACTACGTGCTTCAAACTGCATCGGGAGTTTGTATTTTCTTCTCTTGCTGATAGGCATGATCTTACTTATGCGCGTCGTACTTGATTTGCTAGAATGTAAACCGTGGACACATGGACTCATTCGATGTCATCTTCAAGGAGATAGCCACTGCCACGGAATCGGCTTCGATCTTAAGGAGTTATGTTTGCATTGAATACATCGCTTAGTCTTAAGATATTCTGAACTAAGACTTTTAACAAACACAGTCCTCATAACTAAGCTCAGAATCCTCTTGGACACACAATCAAGCCGTAATTTAGCAGCGCATTTCAGTATCTCATAGTGTAGTGAATTATGAACGCAGGATGGCATGGCTCATGGCAGCTCCGTAAGGGACCCGCATGGTATTGCAGTGAATAAATGAAAAAGGGTCCTGGGCAACACTTCTGTATGGCGTCCTTCTTTCTCTCGTGCGTCAGTCCATCAAAGCTGTCGGTCACCAAGCCACCAAGAACAAATACATCGAACTGGTCATCTGCGGTGTGAGCTGAAGCAACACTTCCGGTATAACATTGCACTTGGATCTACCAGGCATGTTAGCACTGACAAAAGACAGAAATCGAGGGTGAAGCCGCAAAGAGAAAAAGGCTCACCAAGCAGATTGCGCACCTAATCCGCTTCACCTATCCTTGCCCTTTCATATCGTGCAGACCCAATGTGATATCAAGATGGCCAAGAGTCCTCGAGGCAACAAGCAGAGAGCAGCAGTAGCAGCAGCAGGCTCAGACGAGAAAGCCGCGTCCTCCAGCTTCCTGGCCGAGCTTGACCACGCACTGGAGAGCCGGCCAGTCAGTTGGTTACAGGCCGTGGAGTCTCTCAGTCAGAATCCATCAACCGAACCGCCAGGTCACGGGATCACCAAGTCGATCGAACAGACAACCATTCACCACAACACAGATCAGAAAGATAACAACACAGCGGGATGTGACGAAAGCAACACCGCCTATGACAAGGATATCTCTGATTTCGAAAGCATTGGTGCCAGTACGTTCTTCCTCTACACAGCCATCACTCCATCCCCCCATCCCCCATCCTCCCATCCCCCTCACCTCTACTTTCATCCATACCCAGTACGATGGGTCGTCCAGCCAGACTAATGGAGTCCGTTGGACAACCTACAGGCAGTCAAGAAGATGTCTCAGTAGACAAGAGATCTCGCACTGAGGCGATTGACTTGCTCCGCGCGAGAACAGCCACTCGTTCGACTCCCACTTCAAGCCCGACCCCGACGCCTTCGACACCTGTTGTGACGGTGGTTGATACTACACCAGCCAACGCAGTTGATTCATCTCATCTTCCTCCTACCTCCTCTTCAACCGAGAACCCAGCTTTTGAGCAGTCAGCCAGCCTGTCTGTTGCATCATCTCCCAAGGTTCGACCTTCTAAACAGTAATTAGTCTCTTCTCTTCTAACCTCCCGACAGGCTCTACCATCCGAGCAGCCAACGACCTCACCTCTTTCTCCAGGATCTGAGGACAAACCTTCTGATCACATACTGAGTCCACCTGTCTCATTGTTTCCCAAGCAACAACCTTCTGCGGAGCCCTCCCTGAGCTCGCTCGCTCCTGCAGCATCTGTGGGTATATCCAATGAGCAGCCAGTGAGCTCGCCTGCCATATCATCACAGGATAAGGATTGTGAAGAGCCTTTGGACGTGTCGGCTCCCATAACATCTGAGGGTAAATCTTCTGAGGCGCCAGTGGCCACGGCTAGACCTTCAACACCCGAGAACAAACACTCGAGCTTGCCAGCCCGTGCATCTCCATGTAAGGTTCAGACATCTGAGCAGACATTGAGCTCAACTGTCCCTTCATTTTCCGAAGACGAGCCTTCTGAACAGACTTTGAGTCCACCTGTTTTTTCAAGCTCTGATGATAAGCCTTCTGAACAGCCTTTGAGCTTACCTGTCCCTTCGAAGACTGAAGACAAACCAGTCGGCTCAACTACCCCTTCGCCTCCCAAAGATACCTCATCTGAAAAACCATTGAGTCCATCCATCCCCCCGAAACCTGAAGGCAAACCTTGTGAACAATCAATCAGCTCAACTACCCCTTTACCACCCAAAGAAACCACCTCTGGAAAGCCATCGAGCTCACCTCTCCCTTCGAAATCTGAAGAGAAACCATCTGACTCGACTGATCCTTGGACATCTGAAGACAAGCCTTCCGAACATCCACAGCCACAAATTCCACCCCTTCCAGCCTCCTCATCTCCTCTCACCCAGCCATCCGAGCCAGAACAGAGCCCATCTCAAGACCACTCCCCCCAGCAACCCCAGCCAACTGCACCCACCCCAAAGATGGAGCCTACCAAGTCATCCAAGAAGGCCAAAAAGAACAAGGCCAAGAAGAACAGAAAGAAGGCCAATCGTGCGGCAGCAGGAGGTAGTGGTAGTGGTAGTGGTGGTGGTGGAGGAGCAGGCACAGGAGCTGCCGAATCGAGCAACCTATCCACCAGCGGACAGAGCGAAGTCTCGAACGCGACGACCGCCCTGACCAAGTCTGTCAACGAGCACGAGCTATCAGCGAAAGAAGCAGAGACCAACAAGGACAGCAGCAACAACGGTAGCAGCGGCAGCAGCCGCCACAAGGCTAAAGCACCAGCAACTTGGAACAAACTACCTGAGCTCGCCAGCAACACGAGCAGAATCAACAAGTCGGACATCAAGCTGAGTGCTGCCGTTGCTGCTGCCGCCGCTGTTGCTCAGAGTAGAGGCAGTCGGAATCTCAGAGTCCATCCGGATACTACCTCTGCTGCTTCTCAGGATCAAGGCGACAGGATTCACGATCCAGAGACTGCTGCCAAGATAGTAGCCATCCAGGCGGCCATCGACAGGCTACAAGCCATACAGCAAAATCCGTCCGAGTTCATCGAGCCGATAGAGGGGCTGCTGAGAATCGAGACGCCACCCGGCCAGTCCTGCCCGAGTCCCTTGTTGGCCAGTGCGAAAATCGCGAACATCACCGTGGCGCCCTGCCGTGGCCGGCCTGGGGCTGCAAGGACCGAGGTGCCTACCAAGACCGATGGGGAAGAGTCGACTCTCGTGAAGGGCTCGGGCAAGGAAGCCGGTTCTCCACCTCCGTATTCGAGGGATCCTGCGCCAACCACGCCTCAGAGCAACACTGTCACCACTCGAACCGGGCTCACCCCCATCCAGGAAGCCACCGCCGAAGGCCAGCAGCAAGGCAAAGTGGGTCAAGGTGATACCGATAAATCCGGTACTCAGGAAGCAAGGGAAGGAGGTGATGCGCACGATCTGACCCCCAAGTCCACCAGCACGACCTCTACCGCGTGGACAGCCAGCCAGCATGCTCTTCAGACCACGCCCCAGACCGCCGTGACCTCTGAGCCATCCACCACCAAGACAACCGGCACCCAGCCAAAGGCCAGGGGAAACAACACTACCACCACAACGCAGTCCAGCGCCAAGAGACCAACACTTCCACTCCCACCACCAGCGACCCACCCCCAGGTCGCCAGTAGCAGCCACGCGCACCCCTCCCCGCCTCCCCCGACCACAGTCACATCCACATTGAGAGCCCCGCTCAGCCCCACCGCGAGCACCACGAGCACAAGCACAAGCACCACCCACTACCAACAGATCGCCAACGCCCGGGGCGGTACGCTCTCCAGCCAAAAGCCCGAGGGGTTCTTCTGGCAACTCGACAGCCACGGCTTCCCCTGCGCGCTGCGCAACTGCCCCAAGCGCTGCAACTCCTGGGATGGCGTCACCGTGATCTGCCCGGGGTGCGGCCCCTTCTCCGAGACCCGCTACTGCTGCCGCGACCACCTGCTGCAGGGCATCAAGACGCACTGGCCCGTGTGCGGCGACCACGTCTTCGTGCACCCCTGCCGCGAGAGCACGATCCCGCGCGACGTCCGCGAAGGTCCGCCCCTGATCCCCTGCCTGCACAACTACGACATGCCCGAGCGCCACCGCCAGGCGGTGTACTTCCGCATGAACGAGCGCCAGGGCGACTACTTCATCTTCGCCGACTGGGCCGATTACGTGCGCGCCGGGTTCCCCGAGAACACGACCGCGGTGCGCTGCGCCAAGCGCGTGGTCTATACCGTGCGCTTCGAGGATCCCGAGGAGAAGGATCGGTTCCGGCGTGTGCTGGCGATTTGTTTGTTCGGTATGTTCTTTGATACAAATATTCCCTAGAGTCATGGTGAGTTGGCTGAAGTGAAATCTGGGCTGACAGCACTCTCTTCTTCCTGATAGCGACGGTTGAGGTTCATGCACTGATTGACTACATGTACCGCCTCATTCGTGATCAACTCCGCGCCGCGAACGCATCCAAGCAGCTTGAGGCCGCGCTACGCTACCAGATCCATGCGGAGACAAACGTGTCCATCCAGCAGTACATCACGGGACAGCGCCACGCATGTGCCACTGATTGGGACGGCCGCAACCGCCGCAACTGTCCGGATCAGGTGTGCCGGTCCGAGTATCGTCGGCTCCTGGGTTCCTTGGGCGGAGGCGGTCTACGTGAAGTTGTGAGGAATATGGAATCGACTTACTGGATTCTCCGCGCCGCCAGAACCACTCATCCGACAGTCAAAGACCCGAAGAAGCGCATGCTCGGTGAGGGCTTCGAGGGCGTGGCGGAGGAGGATCAGAGGGTCTTTCGACGTGGTGATGGCTGGGATGGCGCCGGTACCGGCAACATGGAGATCGAAGGTATGAATGAGGGTCCTGAAGAAGCATGATTGACGTTCATGTCAACATTGTTTGATCCCGGCTCCTAGGCTCTGCGTTGTCGTGTTGGGTTTCCTGGTTCGTCCTGTTACGTTTGAGGGTGTTAACCTTTCTCATCTATGTTTGCTCTGGGTAATATCAAGGCAAGGTAAACGAAGTATGAAGCGGAGGTTGCTTTTCACTTGTTAGTGCTCCGGCAGGATGGAGATAATGTCATGTAACAATACAGATAGCAAATTGCAAATCTATTCAATTGTGCTCAGTCCAGCCTCCGACACATGAAGTCTATATTCTTGTAAGTCCGTTGTTGATACCAGTGTTTACCAAACATCGATGCACATCTATACGATCAAGGGTCGTGCAGTCTAAATCACTGCTTGATGTACTTTTTCAAGCCACGTAGTCTCTCTTTGGCCGTTTCGAGCACATCGTCATTCTTGCAAACGGCAAAGCGGAGGTAATCCTCGGCAATGTGGGCATTGGCATCCGTGTAGAACTCGGTGGGAGGAATAGCTGCAACTCCCACCTCGTGGATGAGGAACCAGCAGAGCTTGAAGTCACGAGGCCGGCTGGCCACATGGGGAGGGAATGGGTAATCCTCAGGCAATTTCACAGAGGCCATGTTTGCGAGGACGAAGTATCCGCCCTCAGGATCCGAGTACTATATAACCCAGTTGGTAGAATTCTTGGATGATGCACGACGTCGTCACTTACCGGAATGTTGAGTTCGTCAAAGATCTGGCAGAAACGCTCCATCTTTCCCTTCATCTCCTTCCTACTCTCGTCCCAAAAGCCGACCTTGTCTGCCTGCTCGAAAGCCACCGCGGCAGCTTCTTGGAGAGGCGAAACACTGCTGTAGCAGATACGAGTGTGGGCGCCGGAGACATACTTGATCAGGTGCTCGGGTCCGATGAGGTAGCCCACACGCCAACCGGTGGCATAGAAAGCCTTGCCAGCCGAGCCCACGGTGAGGGTACGCTCATAGAGCTCCGGGGACAAGGTAGCAATGCGAGTGAAGGGAACGTAGTAGAGACGGTCGTAGACTTCATCGGAGAGAATGATCAGGTTGTGTTTCACACAAAGCTCACCAATGCGCTCGAGTTCAGCGCGGGAAAAGACCTTGCCGACGGGGTTATGACTGATAGACGTCAGGCTTGATTCACTCCATATCAAGCTGGAATGCAAGCACTTACGGCGAGTTCAGAACCTAGCGAGGTTGAGTCAGTCGAGTACGATTTGCAGAAGAGTCCAAGTGCCTTACAATCATCTTCGTCTTCGAGTTGATCGTGTTCTCCAGCTCCTCGAAGTCAATGGACCACTCAGCGGCGGAGGAAGTGCGTGTAGCGCCATCTTTGGGGGGATGAAGCGGGACGTAGCGGATTGTACCACCGGGCATTTCGATGTTACTGATGTATCTTTGGGCGGCGTCAGACGGGTAGCAGAGGGGAAAAACCGTGCAACCTACTGGTCGAAGAACGGCTCGAAGACAATAACCTCGTCGCCGGGCTCGATGAATCCCATAAAAGCGCTCAGCATACCTTGTATTCGGTCAGCTGCGCGAACTTGCTCGCCTGTTCCAGGCAATCCCACCTTCATTGGCTCCCGTGGTAACGACCACCTCGGTGTCCGGGTTGATGGTGCGACCAAATGAGGGGGAGTAAGCATCCGCCAGGGCTTGCTTGAGACGAGGACGTCCCTGAAGGGGTGTGAGTCTATGCGGCTATGCGCTGTGGTTTCTTGGTGGAGGAATGTACCTTGGTCGGGGAGTATTGGTTGCATTCGACGCGGTCGAGAGCTTCCTTGGCAGCATCGAGAGCAAACTTGGGAGGGTTATAGCCACTAAAAAGATAGCGTCATTAGTTCTCTACTCCGGAAGCTTTCAATAGTCGGTTACTCACAAGAAACCCTGACCCATGTTCACGATGGGCTGAACGGGCGAAGCGGCAGCAGCCTCATTGACAATGGACCTGCGCGCCGGTCAGCAATCCAGGCCGCAGCACAACAGGTTTTTGGTATGCTTCGTACCAAACATCCTGTTTCTGACCAGCGACCCTCTTAGCCGGGCGAAATGGGTCGGGACGAGCCGCAGTGGCCGACATTGGACGTGTGCAAGCTGGATAGCGGGGGAGTGCGGAGGGGAAGGCAGAAGTGCGCAGCGAAGATGTGGAGGGCTGGACCTGGACAATTGTAGTAGAGGAAAAGAGACGGGAGCCACGGAACATAGAGGCAAGCAGTCGAGTAGGGGCCAGTCAGGAGTGCAGCGAGCGAGAGAGGAAGAGAAGAGGAGGGAGAAGAGGAAGCAGAGGGATGAGTCCGGGGATGGAAAGCGATGGTGGGGAAACTCAAGCTTTCCGCTTTGGGTCGAACCGGATGTTATTGCGTGCTTGGCCTTGGCAATGAGGACTGATAAGCTGTTGTTTTTACAAGATAGCACACTACTGCAGAGGTCATGAAGGTCAATTTTCTTGTTTCAATCCAACACTTGCGTTGAGGTGAGCATAAATCTTGTTGGTAGTGTCGCACAGGAATTCCTCGCGAGCTTAGGCATTCAGGCATTCAGGCATCGCGGCGTCACATGTGTCATCGCAGATTGACAGGATTAGTCATCCGATGGCTCTTATCGCCGCCGCGGCCGACGCGTGGGGAACGCGTTAAGCATCTTCTCAATGGCTTCAATGGTAGTCGACTCTATCCCCGGTAGCTGGTCTATCAGATAGCGCGCTGCCAGTCCGATCAAGCAGCTCACTCGAACTTTTATAAATCCATCAGCTTGCTCGTCAAAATGGTATCGTGTCCCATCTGCAGCAAGTCCGTCCCCAGCTTGAAGATCAATGATCATATCGATTCCGATTGTCAGAACTTTATCGACGAGCCAAGTTCCAGCGCAGAAACCCCCTCCTCGCAAAAGGCTCCAGTCCCGTCCTTTTTCCAGCCAGCGTCTGCCCGGAAGGCTTCTACTCAGAGCAATGCATCACGAGAACCCATCACGGACTCTTCCCCGCTGCGCAATGTCAATGGCAAGCGGACAGCTCCGCTAGCGGCCGAGGTCGCCGTCGAGACGAACCATAAACTACAGAGTAATGACCTACCGTCGGAGCCCAAGCGTCCCAAGATGAACGCTTTCCAGAAGGCAGCCCCGTTGCCGGAGCGTATGCGCCCGCGGACACTGGACGAGGTCTGCGGCCAGGAACTGGTGGGCCCAACGGGGGTGCTGCGGGGGCTCATTGAGCAGGATCGCGTGCCCAGTATGGTCCTCTGGGGCGGGCCTGGCACAGGCAAGACGACCATTGCGCGAGTCATTGCGTCCATGGTGGGTAGTCGCTTCGTGGAGATCAACAGCACCAGCAGCGGGGTTGCGGAGTGCAAGAAGATCTTTGCCGAGGCCCGAAGTGAACTTGGCCTGACCGGCCGAAAGACCATCATCTTCTGCGACGAGATCCACCGTTTCTCCAAGTCGCAGCAGGATGTCTTCTTGGGGCCGGTGGAAAGTGGCCAAGTGACGCTCATTGGCGCCACCACCGAAAACCCATCCTTCAAAGTGCAGAGCGCATTGCTCTCTCGATGTCGCACGTTCACGCTATCCAAGCTCACGGATGAGGATATCAAATCAATCCTGCAGCGGGCGCTTCGTGTGGAAGGACCCAGCTACTCGCCTACAGAGCTGGTGGATGATGAGTTGATTGATTATCTGGCACGATTCTCCGACGGTGACGCGCGAACATCTCTTAACCTCCTGGAGCTCGCGATGGATCTATCCAAGCGTGCAGGGATCACCAAGGACGAGATCAAACGGGCCCTGACGAAGACGCTGGTGTATGACCGTGCGGGCGACCAACACTACGACACCATTTCAGCATTCCACAAATCCATCCGAGGAAGCGACCCGGATGCGGCGCTCTACTATCTCGCGCGGATGATTCAGTCGGGAGAAGACCCTCTGTACATCGCGCGACGGTTGATTGTGGTGGCATCGGAGGATATCGGGCTGGCCGACAATAGCATGCTCACGCTCGCCATTTCCACTCACTCGGCTGTGGAGCGAATCGGCCTCCCAGAGGCCCGGATCAATCTGGCACACGCGACGGTGGCAATGGCGCTGTCGAAGAAGAGTACGCGATCATACCGAGGCCTCAATAATGCTTTCGCGGCCCTGGCAGAGCCAGGAGTCGCCGGGCTGCCAATTCCGATTCACCTGCGGAATGCCCCGACGCGGTTGATGAAGGAGCTCGGGTATGGGAAGGAGTACAAGTACAATCCGAATTATGCGGATGGGGAGGTGGTACAGGAGTATTTACCGGAGCCGATTCAGGGACGCAGATTCTTGGAGGAGCTGGACTTGGGGACTCAGGTTGATCCAGATCTGATGAGGTGAGAGGAACCGTGCCATGTGAGCATCTCGTACATCAAAGACAATCCCACTAGAACATAGATCAGGGCAGATAGGAAAACAATTGCATACGAATTGATGACTTGATGACCCAAAGCTGAAGCTGCCGCCAAATTCCAAGCCCTGAATACGCAGTAAATAGTTGTAATTGAGTAGGAGAGCCAGTCGACACTGAGGAAGGGAATCAACCGACTGGGCAATCTAACCTTGAATGCTAATGTTTGTTCCCGTCTTGGCTGCGCGTCTCCATCGCCCGCGCGTTTTCTCCACCACCTCCGACACTCTCATTCATTCTTGCGGCCTGATTCTCCTGAACACCTAATAACCCTCACATCACAGCACACCCTAATAACCAATCCAACCCAAACTCCTACAGAAGCAACACAATACTGTGAACCCCCGAGAATCACACAGACACGGGCAATGAGGCTCAACCACCTCGCCTGAACCAACGCCCTCTACCCCGACCAAACCAAACCAAACCACCACACCCACCGGGTCCCTCACAACAACAACACCACCACCAGAAAATGGCCTCCTCAACCCAACCCTTCGGCTCGCGCTCCTACGCCGCCGGCAAACTACCCGACCGGTCTCTCAACGCCGCCAACGCCCTCCCCTTCAGCGCGTCCTCATTCTCGCGCCACCGCGGCCTCGCCAGCGGCGGCGGCGGCATCCCCAACCCCGGCGGCGCAGGCCTAGGAGGAGCCGGGGACTTCAGCAACGACCCCAGCAGCAACAAAGCGAGCCACGCAGCCGCGCAGCACAGCCACCTGCAAAGCGGAGGACCACCGGCGCCGCCGCTGCACTCGCAAGCCCACGGCCAAGACACGACGAACCCGCTGAGTCGATTAACGGAGGAACAGCGGGAGGAGATTAATGAAGCTGTACGTACCCTTAACGCCCAAACCCATCAACCCGCCCCAAAACCAAGTCAACCTGTGACCCAAACCCATCCCAAATCCATCCCGTATGCTAACACCGGCCACCAAAAAAAGTTCACCCTCTTCGACCTCGACCGCGACCGCCACCTGGACTACCACGAACTCCGCGTCGCCTTCCGCGCACTCGGCTTCTCCCTCCCCAAACAAGAACTCATCTCCTTACTCACGACCTACGGCGTACCCCGGCCCCAAGTCCAGCAACAACAAGCCCAAGCCCAATCGCAAAACCACCCCACCCCGCAGAACCCCCCGCAACCCCTCCAGAAATCCACCACCACCAACAACAACCCCCAACACCCGTCCAATCTCCTCATGCCCCTCAGCGCCTTCCAGGCCGTCACCGCCTTGAAAATTCTGGAACGGGATCCGCGCGACGAGATCCTGCGGGCGTTCGAGCTGTTCGACGAAGGTGGGAAGGGGTACATCGATCTGGAGGATCTGCGGCGCGTGGCGCGGGAGCTGGGCGAGACCGGGCTGGAGGAGGAGGAGCTGCGGGCGATGATCGAGGAGTTTGATTTGGAGGGGGTAGGCGGTGTCACCAAGGAGGCGTTTGTGAGTATTTGTTGGCAGTAGGCCCTCGAATTCTTGGGGCTGGGGGAGTGAGTCTTAAAGTAAAGTGGAAGTGATAGGTTTAGGATATTTGAGGCGAGAGGTTGGTTGGTTGGTCTTGTGAGGCTTCTTGCCTATTGGGATCATGGGTTTGGGTTCAGGCTTTAGAGGAGCACTTCTGCTTGTGTCAACGCTTGGTTGTTGTTGGTGTGGGTGGAACTGTACACCTGTATAGTTTGGTTATATGGTCTCGGAGCTGAAAGGCTGTTGACGTCTTTTTTTTTTCCCTTCTACTATCGTTTTGGGCATTGGGCAGGCGCCGATTGTATCTTCCTCGTTTGTCGACTTCTCTTGTACTCTCATTGCTGTTTCACTTGGCTAGTTGTCTAAAAGATATCCATTTCAAGCGGCATGAACGTGTTGAACTGAGCTTACATCCTACTAAGGTATACAAGGTTGGACAGAAACCGGTAGTCGAACTAAATTGTAAAGCAATCATATCTATTGACGAGCCTGACTGTACAATGACGATGATAAGCCGGTCAAAATAATAAACAATATGATACCTAGAACATAAAATGCACCCCCAACAGAAAATGAAATAGCCACACATCCAAAGACAAACACCAAAGACAAACACCGAACACCACCCAAACCCAAAATGAAAAGAAGCAAGTGTCACAAATATGAGTCTACAATGCTCATCATGCAGCGCTCGTGTACATGCACGTTCTACGTGCGTGGCAGAAAGAAAGCAAAATCATGCATAGCGCCCTTGGGGCGGATATTGCGGGTATTGTGGTCCGGCTGGTCCAGGTCCGGGATACGGCGGCGGAGGCGAGGACAAGCCCTGGTATCCCTGAGCCGGGGCATTGTTCGGCCATTGATTCATTGGCGGAGGCGGAGCCATAGGCCCGTTCCAGGGCCCGTAGGGAGGTCGGGGCGCAGGTCGAGCCATGGGGCGTGGTTGACGACAGCGACGAACCAAGCAGGAAAGCAGGCCAAGGAGCAACAAGCCTCCCACTGCACAGGCGACACCAATTACGATGGCCTTGTGGTCGTTGATCCACGATTTGACATTTTGTCCCTTGCAGTCTCCGTTGCTGCAGTAGCCGCCACTACCACAAGGAGTTCCATCCAGGAAATTCTGGTTGAATCCCACGCACTGACCACCGAATGAGATTGAGTTGGAGCTGCAAATCAGCTCGCACGAAGAGCTATATGCCGAGCAAGCGTACGTGTTGTTCTCGTGTAGGACGCTGCCCATCACACTGCGGCATTGATAGTCGCGGCTGGTGCATTGGCCACTGGCACACTTCAGGCCAGATCCGCTACTCCCACAACTGGTGCCATCATCTTTGTACGAGTCCGAAGGACATGAGCTGGAGTTGCCGCTGCATGTCTCGGCCAAGTCACATTCGCTCCGGCTGGCCCGGCAAACCGTGCCCGCAGAAGCATATTGGCATGACGAGCAGCAGCTGTCGTTAGAATCATCACAGACGGATCCCGACGTAAACTTGCATGTAGTGGGATTGCAGCACTTGTTGTCGCCGCAGCCAGCTTCACCACCGCAATCACAGTCCTCGCCTTCCTCGACAATTCCGTTCCCGCACTGACTACCTGTATAGGTAGTGACGCCGCGGTTCGCCGAGAGACAGCTCGACTTGACACTGTTACGGCCAATGGCGGAGCAGATATTTCCGATCGTGCACTCTGAAAACGAGCTAATGTCAGTCCCCGTCGTGGGGTTCATGATATACTTGCCGCTGGCATCACATGTCTTGGATGTCAACGGGCAGCATTGCGATGAGGACTCGAGATTTTGCGAACAAGTGTCAGAGTCGCAGTCATGCACCGCACCGAATGTGTGGCCGGTCTCATGGGCGAAAATTTGCCAACCGCCGCCAGAGGAGCGGACGACGACATTGGCACCACTGACGGAGTTGTCGCCGCTAGTAGTCACATCCGCATTGCACAGCTGTCCCAACCAAGACACGCCGACTTCGCTGCCGGTCGGACAGTCACTGAAGAGAGTCCAATACGCGTTGGAGTCACTATGCTGGCCGCGCCACTCGGAGAACAGATTCAAACGGGAGGTGAGATTACCGCTCGAACAGGGCATGTTCCATGCAGTAGCTGCGGGTGGGTTCTCAGGGCAAGAACTCTCCGAGATAGTCAAATTCCGCAGGCCAATCGAGACATTGAAAGACTTCTCATAAACGCTGGAAGCACTGTTGACTGTGCTAATCACCCATTGCTTCGCTGCAGTCTCATTCTTGAAGGAGCCTGTGAATGAGCAGTCCGTAGCAACTCCGATCAAGGCCACTTGTTTTGTGTTGGGGCAGCCCGAAGTGTCACCTATGGTCGACGCCAAATTCACGGTCCCTGAGTTTCCAGAGACGCTGCCGGTATCCGACTGCCGCTTGCTCAATCCGAACAAGGAATTCATCGACATGACTCCCCAACGATCTGAATCCACATCCATTTGATAGGATGAAAGAACCGGGTGATTTGGATCGACATTGAAGTCCAACTGATCAGCTTGACATGATGTTGATCCCAGCACCGATCGCTTTAGCTCTGTGTGGACGCGATACATATCCGAGTCGCGGTAGACGACCATGTATTCGCCCTTGGTGTCGACAATATCGGCATCCTGCTTGCGTTTCTTCTGGAGGTAGGTCGACTTCAACTCCACGTGGTGGTTGTCCCCATGCACACTGAATACGCCTTCGAAAAGGGGCTGGTCACCGTCATGCTTGAGATAGACTCTAGCCGATCCGACTGGATCCCACATGCCCTGACCCCGGCCGATTAGACTCCTTCCCTTGAAGACTTTGTGATCTTGGCGAGAGATGGGTTCCGCTCGTCGGACATTCCCATCGGCATCGAGGTATTGTACATATGCATCGTCCGCCAGAATGTCATGATTCGGCTCCAGTTCGAGCTTGACTCGTTGATTCTTGTCACGGAGGTTGAAGGTGATGTCGAAGTGTGTCAGATGATCAACCTGATGCGAGGGTGTCTGTATTGTCGGGTGGTCTAATGTCGAGATGTGCTGAATGGTGTTGGGTGACTGCGACCGGGCTGCGTTGACAAGTGAGTTAAATTGACACAAATCTCCAGGGGAAATAGAACCAACCTTGCACATCGCAAGCAAAAAGGGATATTGCGCTTGCAATCAACGGGAGGGAGTAAGAGAAGACCCTCATGGCCGCCAACGACTGGACTTCACGGCCAGCAAAACGAGCGGAAAGTGGAATGTAAACGAGTGATTTGCAAAAACAATAGCAGATGACAGCAGCGGTAAGGAGAAGAAGTCAGATCTAATTCCCCCGGAGTCTTTCTAAGCAAAACATCAGGCAGCCGCCAAGCGTGAGACAATGGTTTGGATGATCACTGCGACCCGTTATTAAAGATGGGGGGGGGGGGTTTCAAATCCACTCCTGTATCTATGCCAAGGGATCGGTTGTAATTGATTGAAGCGACAGCACAATTTCTTGCTTGGTTGGTTGGCAGACAATGGAGAGATGACGCCGTATGCAGCCAGTGCACAACGAACGGATAAGGGTCTGATATGGTCTGTTACAAGACCCTGTGGCGGGAGAAAGACGATCAGGGTCTTTTCTCTCACTTTCACAGAAGCCGAGGGAGTCTCTCTCTTGGCCCGCAGAGGCGCAGCAGCCTTGGCGGGGGAAATGGCAGGAAGAACAACAAAAAAAACGAATGGAATAGTGAAGAGACTGAGGCGGATCCGATCGGATAGAGATCCCTGAGGCCCTCCAAGCACTAGCAGCAGGCCTGACGAACGTCAACAGAAGAAAACAACAAACAGAGAGGGTGAGGAATGATGAAGAATTGAAAGAATGAAAGAATGGAAGATTGACAGGCGGAAAGAAGATGGATTTGTTGACAATGCCAAGCCCCCGCCCGGCCCCCTTCTTTTTCGACTCAGTCTACAGAGTAAGCGCCGGAGGCTGCATTGATGCTTTCAATTCATATCTTATCATTTTTCTCTTTTTATGATGATGACATCCGGCTATGTCCCTTGGCTGGGGATATCATCTGCAGTCACTGCAAATGTTATAGAAAAACGCTTACAAAATGTTTGAATCATACCTACGAATCAATGCACACATGATGACATCGTCTCCATGGCAATGAATCACTTCCTTATGCTTTATCCCAAAGGATATCAATCCGGAGCTGCGTGATATAAAACATGCGCCTCGCGCGCAAAATGAGGAATCGAGGCACCACAGATATCACAGGCTATGCAGAGCATGCCCTCTTCCTCATCGCTTTCCTCCCACGCCACATCTCCCACAGGATGATCTACATTATGACTGGCCTCAGGACGAAACTCGGCAATGGTTTCCTTTGTCTCTGAGATGGGCACGTCCGCATACTGTGCGTCAGGAAATTCTTTGGTCCCTGTTCTTTGAGTCTGGAACATCTTTCCAATGTCGCGTCCACTGCTCTGCTTCCTATCGCCGGCTCCTTCAACCATGTTCGTCACCGCAACATTCATCAATTGAAGGTCCCAGCCAGATTTCTCCGGGTGCAATTTGCGGAACATGGATAGCAGGGAATCATGCACCAATCGCTCTGCCAGAGCATCGATAGTTTCATCCAGGGCAAACACATATGCAGGGAGCGGCTCAGAGCGCGAGGTCCGATGAGCCGGTCGCACACCCTCAGTACCCGAGTTCCGAAGTCGCGTAGACAGTCGCAGTGTCCGAGGACGAGCCAGCCATCGGGTCGAGGACTTCTCCACGGGTTCCAAGCTGTGGACAAGTTGATCGGGCCCTGCATCTACCTCAAGGTCCTGCTCCGTCAGGTCAGTCCGCATGCGACGGAGAAGACTAGCCGTCAAAGAGGCCAATTTCTTCCGAACGTCTTCCAGAGTATTCAGACGCCCATAAGTGTCCTCGATACTGATCTGGGTGGGCACGTCGCCCGCCGGAATAACCGGCGCAGAGTCAACGCCATTTAGCAAGCCCCAGACCCGCGAACCAATATCCCGGGGTGCACCTGGTCCGCCGAGTATACGGTCCAGCAGGGCTGGTCCCATACTGGAATACAGTCGCACGTCGCGAACAGTCTTTGGCTCATCCGCCAGAGGGGGGGTGGCTGAGCTGGCCTGTGCGCCAGCTTTGGAAAGGTAAGCGGTGATTTTCCGAGTCAGCTTGGAGCCCAACCCAGGAATCTTCCGGATCTCATGTCCATCAAGAAAGGTCACCACATTACTCTCCAATGCGCCTGATTTCGCGTCGTACGGCGGAAGAAGGGTGGTCTGGTTGTTCGGTTTATGTGTGTTGCCTACCAACTTGGCTAGCAATTTGGAGGTTGAGATCCCCACTGTGGCCGTGTAACCCATGTGGAACTCGAGTTGGCCTCGCAGAAAGCCTGCCAAGTGCGAGGCCACGAGCAGCCGCGTGTAGAGCCCTGAAATCTGCCCGTTCGAGCTTAGACTTACAGCCGTTAAATTCAGATCCGCAGGGTAAGTGGACCCGTGCACTTGGGTGGCATTGTAGGAGAAACCCACTGTGGGTTCCTGCCGGTCAAGATGGAAGAACGAGTGTTCCAGGTCATGGCGGTTGAGCAGGTCAGCGTTGTAATCGATCATCTCGGTCACGTCCATGAACACCTATGACCAGGTTAGAAGTGCTACCGGGGGCCCAGTCCGTGGTACTAAAGATAGTGCATGAACCTGTGGAGGTCCGGCCAACATACCTCATCGAAGCCTAGCCGTTCGACCTTGTCCCCCCAGACAAACGATCGCAGATAGAGGAAAAGCCGCTTGGAGGCATCGCGAAAGCGGGTCAGGTCCTCGCCCAGAACAATGACGACGTCCGGGCAGATCTGTTTGGCCTCCCTGATCAGTTGGAGCTTGCGTAGCCCCCTCCGTCGGGCTTCGTAATTACAGGTTACCACAATCTGTTTCTGCTGCACTGCCAACGGCAGCGACTTCAGCACCGGCTGCTCTACCTCAAAGACGGCAGCGTAGAAGCAGTCATAATCCTGCCATGCGAGATGAGGTTAGTCGGTCGTCGAGGTCTATAATCCTACGGAGCCGGAGGAAGCCCGGGCATGGACGTAGGGTCAACTGACAAAGTGCAAGATGATTCGACGATCGTCTCTGGATGGAGCTGTGGCCATGGGCTAACCCAGATTAACGGCCTTTGAGAGTGAGAGTTTCGAAGCGCAGTGAACAAGATTGGTGGCAGGCAGCACTGTCGGCCAACCATGCGCTCGATTAATACCTAGTGTGCTGCAGCCTTCCAGTAGCGTGGTGGAGGACACTCCATTCGCTGATAGGCTAGTGCAGCAAATCCGGTTCCTAAGAATAAACAGCAGGATGCAATGAAGGAATGATGGAGACACAGACAGGCACAATGGAGTAGTTGATATCACACCTGGCACAATGCCTGCCTCATAATGAAACTTAACAAACTTCCAAGGCTGACAGTACGGCGAGTGATGGTCTGATTGGGTGGAGACGGAAGAGGGAGGCTGGGGGCGTGGCTGGCAGATGAGAGGTGGCTGGTGCGCAGTGGACCCTGGCTGACTCAGCTGGTTCTTCTCCCGTGACAGCAGCACTAATCCCTTTTGGGACTTCCCCACAGACTAATCTGCATTCGGCCGAAGACGCTTAGCTAAGTCCAGCCAAGGAAAGGCTGCAGGAAAGAAGACACTAACTTACAGTCCGTAGGTAGTCACTGCACAATCCATCCATCACTTGCGTATTCCATCCATCCTCTCTCCGCATTCTGGTCGGGACCAGAAGTCGCTAAGAGTCGCCAAGGGCCGTTCCAACATGCCCAAGTGACAGGAACCAGAGTCGGAGTCACTTGGACTCTCGTTTTTGTCTCTCTATCCACGCCGCTATCGCCCGGTCTCCACCCTCACAGTGAGCCCGCCGCGTGTCGTCTACACGCCCGACTGGGCCCGGAATGGACTGGATGGGCCTGTGGAAAAAAAGAAAGAAGAGAAAAAAATATCAGGTGAAAAAAAGAAAGGAAAAAACTAGTTGGGTTGGCGTGGGATTGACTATATTTAGACTCCTCGATGGCACGATAGCTGTTGCTGATAGGCCGATACGACGTGGACGGCTCTGCTCTGGCTGCGTCTGGACTGTGATTTAATTTCCACAGCGGCTAATCCTTTGCCATCATCGCCGCCACTCCATCTTTGGGTCTGACTCGTTTTCGGTTCTCTGTTGTCATCCAAGACACAACACCAGCAGAAGAATTTTAGGTGGTGAAGATGATGAAACTCGTCGTTGGGTTTCAATCGAGTATTCTACTCAGTCTACTGAGTATCTAGTAATTGACTATGACTGTTGTCCAATGTCCATTTCACGGTGACAGGACCGAATATGGGGGATCAACAGATCCATCATATCATGACGAGCACGTACTGCTTGATCGCCGGTGTTCTTAAAATAGGGCCCGTCCAAGCGCCCACCACCAGTAGTTCAGTGTCCACAGTCCACAGTCCACTTGCACTTGCACTTGCACTTGACTGACTGACTGACTGACTGACGATTTTGCCTCTTCTTTTCCGTCACATTATTATTCCTGTAAATTAGGATGGATCTGGTATCTCTCATATGTCTACGCTAAATACAAGAATCTGAATCCAGAACACATAACAAGACTACTCACAATAACACACATAAGGATAATAATATCTATCTAATCCCACCCTGCATGTAGCCCATCCCCACTCAGTATCACAGCCCAGTGGAAGTCGGTCTGCAGCGCCGCTCATCCATCCATCCATCCATCCACTTGCGGGGCGACGTCGCACTCCTCTTCTTCTTCTCACCCATTTTCTTCTTCCTCTTAACCATCCTTTCCCTCTTTCTTCTTCAACCTCATCTTACATGAACCAGATCTCCATCCTCTCATCTGCAACTCCTGCTCTTGTATCGCAGAGGGGCCCTTGTCGACCATGCTCGCCACCTCCATGACCCCGCAACAGCCTTCCTCCAACATGGCCTGCAGTTTGGCCCCAACGACCAACACCCGGTCGACGATCGCCTCCCGACCCAAACTCACCCTTCAAACATCATCCCTACCCTTGACTTTCGGCACTTCCTCCACGGGCCTGTCGCTCTCTTTGGTGGCCGGCTCGACCGCATCCCCCACCGTCCGGAATACCTTCAAGAATGCCTACGACGTGACTGCGCCCGTCTCCGCCACGG